TCTGCCTGGGATGGCTTTGTACCATGATACTCAGATCTTAGCCTCCTTAGTAACTAGGATTACAGGCATGAGCCACCAGTGCCCAGCTTGCAAGACTCTGATCTCTAATTAACAAACAAAATATGCTTTAAGTGCCCCAAATCATTCCATATGGAGAAAACCACACAAAGAAGTCCCTACTCAGAGAACATACACACAGTGAAAAACACAAAAGGGAACTGAATGCATCTTCTCTAGATGTGACCTTCCTAGTCTTACCATGTTTCTCGGCTTTAAGGTACTTGCTCCTCATCTCCTGTTGTTGGTAAACATAAGTCCTCCAGTTCTGGAACATCAAATTGTACAAGTAATATCTGAGGAGCCAAAAGAGCAAATAGCTTTCATTAAAACAACAAAACTAGTCCAGCATACCCATATTTTTTATTGTCAGTCATGGGGATGAACTCTGGGCCTGGGCGCTGTCCCTCAGCTCTTCAGCTCAAGGCTAGCGCTCTACCACTTGAGCCACAGCACCACTTCCGGCTTTTTTCTTTTTGCTTATGTGGTGCTGAGGAATCGAACCCAGGGCATCAGGCACGCAAGGCAAGTGCTCTACCATTGAGCCACCTTCCCAGCCCCTTGAATTTTATTTTAAAAATAACAACAACAAAGTATTTAAAACTATAATAATGCAGATTTTATATAGTTCCATTGTTTTCTCTACTTATCCCTAAGAAAGTGAATGCTAAGGATTAAATGATTTTCTTTCTTTTTTGTGCTGGTACAGGGGCTTGAACTCAGTGCCTGGGCACCGTTATTCAGCTTTTTTTCTCAAGGTTCACAGTCTACCACTTGTGCCACATCTCTACTTCTGTTTCTTTTTTGGGTTTTTTGTTGTTTTTTTTTTGCGGGGGAGGGTTAACTGAAGATAAATAGTCTCATGAACTTCCCTTCCCAGGCTGGATTTGAACTTCAATCCTCAGATTTCAGCCTCATGAGTAGCTAGGATTACAGTTTTAAGCCACTGGCTCCTGACTCCTACAATATTTTTTGTTGGTGGTGGTGGAGCCTGAACTCTGGGCCTGGGCACTGTCCCTTAGCTCGTTTTGTTTTTTTGTTTTTTTTGGGGGGGGGTTGGTCGTGGGGCCTGAACTCTGGGCGTGGGTGCTGTCCCTCAGCTCTTCAGCTCACCACTATCACTCTACTACTTGAGCCACAGCACCACTTCCAGCTTTTTCTGCTTAAGCGGTGCTGAGGAATCAAACCTGGGGCCTCATGCATGTGAGGCAAGCATTCTACAAATGAGCCACATTCCCAGCCCTGTCCCTCAGCTCTTCAGTTCAAGGTTAGTACTCTACCACTTGAGCCAAGCACCACTTCTGGCTTTTTCTGCTTATGTGGTGTTGAGGAACCGAAACCAAGGCCTCATGCATGCAAGGCAAGCACGCTACCACTGAGCCACCTTCCCAGCCCCTCCTACAATATTCTTCACAGACTGAAGAGAATGATAAATGAGGCCTCTGGTAGGATAGGTCCTGCATGGAGGAGGAGGTGTCCACTGTGAAACCCAGAGTCCCCTGTATAATGTTCCTCAGCAACGTCATCTCCAGCACCTGTATCCAACAGCAGGAAACATGGAAGGTTGTTGTCTGTTGCAGCCCTAGCTATCAGGTGGGAACAATGCTCAGTGGTTCTTTGTCTGGGTAGGACCATCCAGACAGGCCACCTAGATCCATCATCAGACCAGGCAGAATATGATGGAGCTGCAGGCCAGCAGGTAGAGGGACCAACTCACTCCTCTGCAGAGCTGTTGGAGTTAGCATATCATGAAGCTGCTAAAGGTAAGGATGTGCATAGGGCTCTTTTTGCTGGCTAATTGGAGTCTCACAGGCTTTCCTGAAAGGGCTAGCTTCAAACCACAATCCTCAGATCTCAGTCTCTTCAGTAGCCAGGATTTACAGGCATAAGCCATCAATGCTCAATGGATTAAGAGATTTTTAAAATTTTCTTTCCCTTTTTTCCCCTTTTGAGGTGCTGGGGATTAAATACAATCCCAGAGACTCATTTGGCCATTCAGCTATACCCCAGACTTCCTATTTTCCTAATGTCCTAATTTGGGCATATTCTTTTTTCCATAGTCAATGTAAAAGCTACTATTAAAAAATTAAACAACACTTTCAGAATTATAAACTATATATATAACTAGGGAGAAAACCTCATTCAAATCCTAAGTATGACCAATACAACACAGTGATTACATGAATCAGAAGGAGGGTCTATGTGTGCCTGCACAGGTGTATGTAAACTTGGGTTTAATATATAAATCTAAATTAGCTTACTTTGAAGGAACATAGAAAGTGATTCAAAACTCTGCTCTTTTTAGCTGGGCGCTGACAGCTCACACCTGTAATCCTAGCTACTCAAGATGCTCGGATCTGAGAATCGAAATTTGAAGCCAGCCTGGGCAGGAATGTCAAGAGACTCTGATCTCCAATTAATCACAGAAAAAGCTGGAAGTGGAGCTGTAGCTATAGTGGGGTACAGTACTAGTCTTGAGCAAAAGGAGCTTAAGGATAGCACCTAGGTCCAGAGTTCAAGGCTGAGGACCAGGGAAAACGAAAAAACAAAAAACCTCTGCTCAGGGCTGGGAAGTTGGTTCAGTGGTAGAGCGCTTGCCTTGCATGCCTGAGACCCTGGGTTC